TGTCCTCATAAATTATCTCACTGAGAAAAACACAGACGTCAGAAGAAAACTCTCTTAACCTCTTCATATCAAACTTACCGTCTCTCTCCATCTGTATAATGATGGCCTTTTTTCTCTGTTTCACTCGGGTAGTCATTTTAAACCCTGGCTCAACATTGATAGTTGTGGAGCTTTCAAAAAATACTTCTTCCTGGGGCCCCGAAGCCAGAGAAGATGATTTGGGTACCCATGGTGTTGAAAGCTCTTCAGATGATCCTAATGTGCAATCAGGCTGGGAATTAGAAAAGCTTTCCTTTCTCCTCATAAAGAGGAGTTTTTAAAACAAGTATTTAGATTCCATTTCTCACGTCCTGCACTAAAATATATTTTTCGTCCTTCTCTATATGCAGAGGGAGTGTAGAGAATCACTGCCTCTCAAATTTGTTTTTTTCCATTGATTTTGCAATTTATTTGATCCTCTCTCTTGTTAACAACCAAACCAAATCAAACCAAACCAACTGAGTGACAGACTACTGACCGACCAACCAACCAGCAAAAACTTCAGATTCTTCCATCATACCTGCGATGATCAGTTGTACGCATCCACTTGGCTAGGCGGCAGCACCCAGTCACTCCTCTGAAAACGACTTGCAGCATGGTCGTAAAAGTATTTCGTAGAGATAGTTAACATCTCTAAACAGCTGACTTCAAGTAAGGAGATTGCCCTCAATAATCTGGGCGGGCATGGCTGATCTCCTCAGCTGAAAGTCCTAAAAACCTTTCAGAAGTTGAGACTCCAAAATGAAGAAATTCTACCTGTGGATGGCAGTGCCAGCTTCTGTCCCAGAGTTTCCAGCCCTCTGATGCAATCCAAATGTCTAAACAGAATCAAATACTTACTGAGTCCATTTAAAAAAACTGGTTTCTGCCCCATCATTCCACAACCTATACAAGTTATAATTAACCTTGTTTTGCAAACACATTTTCACTCTTTCTCAAAAAGCTTAATTACAGTCAACCACTACTTATTTTTGCTCTTTCAAAAAAATTTAAATTGTGGAAACCATAATACATAGAAGGGTAAGTTTAAATAATAATTATTATACAAATATTCATATCACCACAGAGACTAAGTATCTTTGAATCCCCTAAATATTATTATTCCCCAGTCACGTTTTTCCCCCCAGGAGGTAACCTACCTTTTCTTCAGATAACCAACCACTCCTTTAATTTTCTTCATTGTTATTAGAATCACACTGCGTTTTTGGTAGCACATTACTTTTTCTCCATGTATTTGTGAAATTCATTCATACTGATGTGTATAGCTCTTGTTTGTTCATTTAAATTGTCTTACATCATTCTGCTCCCTTACTATTCCACAAAATATTTACTCATTTTATCACTGATGGATTTCGGGCTTGTTTTGAGTTTGGGGCTATGATGAATGATACTGCTATAAACAGACATACAAGGAGAATCAAAATACTTAATGATGTGTATAGCAAGGTACGTTCCAATTACCACAGTTGCCAAACCCATGTGAACGGAAGCCTGACCAACCAGAAAGGAGTTTCTCGGGTACACTGTGCTGGTGTTCTGGCTAAATAACCACCCAGCATTCTTGAAAATGGCTCCTGGTTCGCATGTTCAAGGGTTTTCCTGACATCTGTGTCCAGGAGGGGCGTTACTGGGTTGTGACGTATAGCAATCTTCAACAATAACAAGGTGATTTCAAACTATTTTTAAAATGGCTGTGCCAATTTATACTTAGATCAACTTATATACTTACATGAGAATTCTATTTCCAACAGTGGCTTCCTCAGACTGGATTTTTACTATGTGTGTATTATGTCTCACTGTACTGTAATTACCCTGAAACTAAGTAAGTCAGTTGACACTGAGAATCTGTTTCTATGTTTACTAGTCATTTGGACTTCTCATCCAAAGTATCTGTTCAAGATTTTTTCCTATATATCTATTACATTGCTTTTCTTTTCCCTTATTTGTGTCTATTTTTGTTTTGTTTTGGTGGACAACATTGATCAGATTTTAAAAAGTACTCTTCCATTCCATGTGTGCTATCAAGTTTTTATTATTAATAGATACTGAATTTTATCAAATGTTTTCCACCATCTTATGATTTTTATATTTTAATATATTAATGGAGTAGATTGCATTAATTTTCCAATATGGAAATAATCTTGTGTAACTGCGATAATTCAACACGGTCACGTTTATCACTTTTAAACATTGCTGGGTTGGGTTTGTTAAGTTTTGGCTTTGGATCTTGGTGAAAGGTCATTTTTTACTGAATAATTAATAAAAATATTTCTTAATTTTTACAAATAATAAAATAAAATATTAAATACAATTTAAAAATAAAAAACAAATGTTTAACTTATTTGGAGTTAGTTGAACAGAGGGAAAAGATTTCAACATTTTCAAATCATAGTTCTATTGTTTTAATAGAGAACTATTTTGGCTCAATTTCCTATAAAATCTTTAGAGTGTAGAGGTGAGGCATTTTCAGCTCTTAAGTGCCTAGATAAAAATAGTCAATTATTAATCATTTATCTAATTGTAACCTTTTAGATCTGGCATGCATCATTTTAAAAAATGTTCCAAGATATAATTTATCTAAGAATGCTCTTAAAAGGTTACCATAAGTATATTAGACACTACCTTTGCTCTTGGCAAGAGGTTGAGAAGGAATAGCATATTGGATAAAAGTTGACCCATCAGTGTTAATGCATTCCTAAATTTAATTATTTTACAGAGATAAATAGAAAGAAAAATAAAAGTAAAAATTCAAGTTAAGTAGATTTCCTATACTGTTTTAAGGTTAAAGAAATAAGAGAATTACCTTGCCATAGAAAAAAAGTTATCAAATAAGATACACATAAGTCCACTCAGTGATGTACCCACTGGCGTAAAAGGGTCAATTTGAGGCTTAATAAGAGTAACAACTTCAATGAATTAAAACATCAAATATGTTAAAATCCAATTTCTTTTTTAATATATAATTTTTATTGAAGTATAGTCAGTTTACAATATTGTATCAATTTCTGGTGTACAGCATAATGCTTCCATCATACATGAACATACATGTATTTGTTTTCATATTCTTTTTCACCATAAGTTACTACAAGATATTGACTGTAGTTCCCTGTGTGATACAATAGAAACTTGTTTATCTATTTTATATATATCAGTTAGTATCTACAAATCTCAAACTCCCAATTTATCCAGTCCCACCTTCTTCCCTTCCTAGTAACCGTTTTTTTCAATGTCTGTGAGTCTGTTTCCATTTTGTAAATAATTTAGTCTTTTTTTTTTTTTTAGATTCCACATATAAGTGGTATCATACGGTATTTTTCTTTCTCTTTCTGGATTACCTAGATTGACGGTCTTTAGGTCCATCCATGTTGCTGCAAATGGCATTATTTTATTCTTTTTTATGGCTGAGTAGTATTCCACTGTATAAAAATACCATAGTTTCTTTATCCAGTCATCTGTTGATGGACATTTAGGTTGTTTCCATGTCTTGGCTATTGTTAAATATTTCTGCTACGAACATTGGGGTGCATGTGTCTTTTTGAATTAAGGTTCTCTCTGGATATATGC